CTGCCGCTGCCGCTGCCTCCACCACCCCCACCGCCGCCACCGAAGCCCCCACTCCCGCCACCACCCCCACCTCCACCGCCACCCCCTCCGCCTCCTCCACCGCCTCCACCGCCGCCCCCACCGTCCCCTCCACCACCCTTGCCCCCCTTGCCCTTGCTGTTGCGGCGCCTCCCACTAGGAGCAGACGCAGCCTCGACCTCCTCAGTGCCAACGAGGTCGACAGCAGCAGCAGAAGCAATAGAGGGGAGAAGGGGGACAGGGGAACACCCCTCAAAGAAAGGGGCACGACGGTCGCCGCGAGAAGCACCTACAGCTAAGATACTCTTCTCAGCTGCAGTAAGGCGCTCCTCTAGCAGGTCGACGGTGAGCTCGGTGGGGCAAAGGGAGAGAAAGTGGTCCCTGACTGAAGCAAGGGAGTCAGGGAGGCGGGTGACTAGGTAGTAAAGGGTGATGTACATGAAGGGGGGGGTTCTTGGCACAGAACTCAGTGGGAAGCGCAGCGCGGTAGTGGGCATCACTATTGCGGAGGTGAGTAATGAGGTCAGCGACTGTAGAAAAGGCTGCAAGGTCAGGGAACGGGTACGGCAGCATGAGGCGGCTGAGGGCAGCAGTGGCAGGGGAGGAGTAGCGCGCTACGACAGCGTCATACAAAGACTGAGCAGTCTTGTACTGGCCAAAGTGCGCGCGCTCAGCAGACGGCAAGTGACTACGAACAGCAAGGGGAGCAACAGCGTCACGAGTGGTCCATTGCGAGCGAACCGTACTGTAAGCAGTGGCAGCAGGTGCAGTAGAGACACCGGACGTGTGATCGAAAAGGGATACCCCATCCCTAGAGTCACACTGAAGAAAGAGCTGCAGGTCGTCAACCCACACGTCAAAGTCAACTGCACGCCCCTCAGCATCAAAGGTGAGAACAGTAGGGCTAGCCATAGCGGCAGTAGCAGCAGTAGCAGTAGTGGCAGCAGAAGCAGCAGTAGCAGCAGGAGCAGCGTAGGCAGGGCAGCGCGGCTCAGGAGGGCGGCGCGGCTCGGCAGGGCGGCGCGGCTCGGTAGGGCAGCGCGGCTCGGCTGGGCAGCGAGGCTCGGTAGGGCGGCGCGGCTCGGCTGGGCGGCGCGGCTCGGCTCCTGGCGGCGCGGCGCGGCAGGGCGGCGCGGGTGCTTACCAGGGGCGGGTGTAGGGCAGGGACGCAGCAGGCAGTTAGGTCAGGGCCGCGACTAGGGCGGCAGCAGGGCAGGGCCGCGAAAGGGCGGCTGCAGGGCAGGGCCGCGACTGGGTGGCAGCTGGGCAGGGCCGCGACAGGGCGGCAGCAGGGCAGGGCCGCAGTGGGCGGCGAAGGCAGGGCCGCGACAGGCGGCAAAGGGCCAGCGACGGGCGGCGACGAGCCGGGACGGGCCGGCGACGGGCCGGGACGGGTCGGGACAGGCCAGTGACGGGCGGCGTAGGTAGGGCCGCGACAGGGCGGCTGCAAGGCAGGGCCTTAGTGGGCGGCTAAGGCAGGGCCGCGACTAGCGGCGGCGACGGGCCAGCGACGGGCGGCGATGGGCTGGGTCGGGCACCGGTGACGGGCCGGGACGGGCCGGTGACAGGCCAGGACGGGCCAGCGAAGGCAGGGCGCGCGACGGCGCAGATGAGGGAGGCGCGAGGCGCGCTTCGGGCAGGGAAAAAAAATCGTGGTGGGCCCTAAAAAAAACGTTCCCACGAGGGAACGTGCTCAGAATACCATGTTAGAATAATGAACGAATGAATGACTGAACTAGCAAGCATGTGGGTACAAGTAGGAAACCTAAAAGCGCTGTACCCTATATGAACTACCCCACTACAGCCTAAACAGACTATAGCATATAAGTTTGACATGCGCTTCTATCTGGAGCAATGCGCTTATGCCCGATCCTCAATTATAAGCGCACCCCCTTAAAAAACATGATTTATTATAAGCGCATGTTAGTTTCAAATTTGAAAAACTATCAAATTACTGTAACGAAGTTCACTTCAGGAGGCGATGAGTTGAAAATCAGATTTCCTTTGCATTCAAACCCTGCACTGGCTGCGCGTCCAATCAGCAAGTGCTGTCAGAAGCTCCTAGTGACTCATTTTGAGCGCATGTGCTGGCAGGGAATCTTTCCCTGCCAAGTAGCGAGAGTTTTTTCACCCACAACCCTGTTTCAAATCGACTTGATTGGGTGCGAAATGAAGCGAACTACATTTTCGTGCTAGTAGTTTAAAATTGTATATTTGTTATTTTATAAGTGCATGCGCTTATATTTTTTACTCAATTATAAGTGCACTGTCAGAATCCCAACCACTAGACCATTGGGATAAAAGGGCTTGTTAAGTAGCGGGTCAGTGCGCCCATAACCCCCCAGGACAACATGCCTGTAACCCTTCCCTATGATCAATCGAGGATCACCAGTGGACCTCTGACACCCCCCCGCACTGGGATGCCCGAAGTGCACACACTAGGATTCGAACCCGAGACTTTCGCTCTGATACCATGTCAGAATCCCAACCACTAGATCATTGGGATAAAAGGGCTTATTAAGTAGCGGGTCAGAGTGCGCCCATAACCCCCCAGGCGAACGCGCCTGTAACCCCCCTAGGATCAGTCGGGCATCCACAGTGCAGATCTACTGACACCCCCCCACACTGGGAGGCCCAGGACTGAGCACAGCGGCAACGGCCTACATGTGCATACACTGGGATTCGAACCCGAGACCACTCTGACACCATGTCAGAATCCCAGTCACTAGACCATTGGGATAGAAGGGCTTATTTCAGTAGCGGGTCAGAGTGCGCCCATAACCCCCCAGGCGAATGCGTCTGTAACCCCCCTAGGATCAATCGGGCATCCACAGTGCAGATCTACTAACACCCCCCACACTGGGAGGCCCAGGACTGAGCACAGCGGCAACGGCCTACATGTGCATACACTGGGATTCGAACCCGAGACCACTCTGACACCATGTCAGAATCCCAGTCACTAGACCATTGGGATAGAAGGACTTGTTAAGTAGCGGGTCAGAGTGCGCCCATAACCCCCCAGGCGAACGCGCCTGTAACCCCCCTAGGATCAATCGGGCATCCACAGTGCAGATCTACTGACATGCACCCCTCTTTAAATCGTGTTTTATTATAAGCGCAGGTGCGCTTATATCCGGGGTGATACGGTATACGCTAAAATACGGTATTAACAGTCTTATCCTGTCCAACAAAGTTCCCGTAGTTGTTCTAATACGCTTGAACGATAAAATGGGGTTGCATTTCAAGGTAATCATTGTCAGCAAAGGCATGAGCTAACATTTTAATAGAGAACGATATCAATTTGTTGCGAGCTAGCCTATGCAGTTTTGGCCACCAAGTTCGAGCTATTCACGAGGCGTAGGCCTACTCGGCCTTGTAAGATAATTCAAGGTTTGGAAAAAAATGGCACAATCGGTAACGGGCGAAGAAGGATCAAGCCTATGAAAGGTGTCTACGCCATAAGGTCAGATGTGCCAAAGCATTCCTGATGTTTTATGTAATTCATGATTTGTTATTGCCTCCGAGTCTTATGTGGGGCTTACTTTATGCAGTGTGCAGCTTAAATGTGTAGGGCATCGCTGGGTCCCTTTCCTTGCCTCCCCCTTCACCCTTTTTCCCGACCCCATCCATGCCTTGCTTGTCATCCCACCTGTGCTCGCAATTCAGGGCTTGGCAAACTCGAGAGAATTGCTCCAAACCTGGGTTTGGAGATTCGGTGTTGCACACGTGGCCTCCATTTGCTCGTGTGGTATTGTGCCGGGTAAAAAAAAGCCTGCTGGAATCCCCAGGCAAGACCACTCAAGCAATTATCAGTCAAATTTAGAACCACGCGAGCGAATGGAGGCCACGCATGCAACACCAAATCTCCAAACCCGGGTTTGGAGCAATTCTCTCGGCAAACTCGCTGCAATTCTCTTTGCTGCGGTGGCAGCAGATCTTTGGTCGGTGTACCCACCCCATGTACAGTATTCCCACCCCCCCTCCTCTCCCCACCAGCCCCCCACCCCCTTTCTCTTGCGTCCCATATCGAAGTCCCCCCTCCCCCGACTCTGCTCCTGAATCTTGATGGTCCTTCCGCCTCCCCATAAGCTGGATGAATTGCGGCTGCCCACACTCTCGGGTGGGCATTGCACTGTAACCATCCTCGAGTCGCAAAAGACTAGGTGCATGTGGGTGCTATGCTCCGCCGTCATAAGAACCCTATCTCAAAATCGCTATGCGTCGCTGATGTCGTTAAGTTTCGCATTCATGAAGATTTGTGACTTGCATATGCAGAATTGACTTTCGTAAGGTCGTTCGCAAGCAACCCGACACCCAACTCAATAGCTCCACCGAGAAACATCTCCAGTGAACTCGTATTGTACAGTACCACCATTGCAGCCTATCCCGTGCCAGCTGGAGCAGTCAAGCGACGAACCGCACTAGGTGAGGCGGCGGCGCGCCACCACTGAATTCTGGCAAGGGCGAATTGTTTTCTTCGTTTACAATTGACTTAGGAAGGTTCATTCTGGCGCACATTGGGTCTAAAGCGGTGGAAACAAAAGTACCGCTCCCAAACGTGGCTGAACGTAATATACCCCGTCCGCCCTGTAAGGACCTTCTGGAAATCGCGTCCTCGCGTTGGGCGCAGCAATTCAGCTCCGCGCGGTGTTCTTGGGGGGGGACTGAGCGGAAGACCAATTCCGCTTGAGTGGAAGCACAACGCTTGCAATGCAAGAAGATTCTAGCTGGTCCAATTCTTGACCCTTGCGCTGTATTTGCACTGCTCGCTGTCTCCTCATTCACACCATGCTCAGAAATACGTCAACGCGGTCGAGCTTTGGCAAGGTCAGAAAATAGCTACTTCGGGAATTGAACGAGTGGGCCAGCCGGACTCTCCAGCAGCGCATTTCGCGTACGCTGTGGCGCGCCACCCTCAACTCATTCCCATTTCACCCCACCGTGCTTTCATCTCGCTTTCGTGCCGCCATTGATTTTCGATCATGGCGCGCCAGTACCTCGCGCTCGCGCTGCTGCTGCTCGCGGTCACCATCTCGACGACCGCCGTGACAACAGCGAATGGCGCGACGCTCGTCATCAGCAACATCGACCGCAGCCTGACGGTCGACAACTACACCATCTACGGCCAGACCATATACGACAACGAAACCGGCGCCCTCGTCAAGCCGACGAAGAACCCCGACGGGTCGCTCACGGTGGAAGGCAAGTACACGTGGTACCCGAACGGCACCATCGCCGCTCCTGGTGTGACTATATACATCGCCGGCGCGGCCAGCTTTGTGGAGATTGCCAACACGAAGCTGTTCGGCAAGGGCGGCATTGCGCGAAACGCGGCGACGGGCGCGGTGATCCCGTGGGTTGAGAATCCCGATGGCTCGTTCACCGCCGGCGACATCACCGGCTGGGCGAACGGCACGTTCCGCGGCTCTAATGGCGTCGTGCTGCGAACACGACTCTCGTTCAAACCAACGAATGGCGGCGGAAGCACCGGTAGCGGCGGAGGCACGGGCACCGGCGGAAGCACGGGAACAGGCGGAGGCACGGGCACCGGTGGTGGCACGGGCACCGGCGGAAGCACGGGAACAGGCGGAGGCACGGGCACCGGTGGTGGCACGGGCTCCGGCGGAGGCACGGGCACTGGCGGAGGCACGGGCACTGGCGGAAGCACGGGCACTGGCGGAAGCACGGGCACGGGCGGAGGGACGGACACCGGCGGAGGCACGGGCACTGGCGGAAGCACGGGCACTGGCGGAAGCACGGGCACTGGCGGAAGCACAGGCACTGGCGGAAGCACGGGTACGGGCGGAGGCACTGACACCGGCGGAAGCACGGGCACTGGCGGAAGCACGGGCACTGGCGGAAGCACGGGCACCGGCGGAAGCACGGGCACTGGCGGAAGCACAGGCACCGGCGGAAGCACGGGCACCGGCGGAAGCACGGGCACCGGCGGAAGCACAGGCACCGGCGGAAGCACGGGTACTGGCGGTGCCACGGGCACGGGCGGAGGCACCGGCACGGGCGGAGGCACCAGTACGGGCGGAGCCACGGGCACGGGCGGAGGCACCGGTACGGGCGGAAGCACGGGCACTGGCGGAGGCACGGGCACGGGCGGAAGCACAGGCAGTGGCGGAGGCATGAACCCTGACGGCAGTGTGGCGTTGGGCGCGGACTACAAGGTGCTGCCCAACGGCATGGTGGTGGACTCCTCTGGCAAACCCGTCAAGCCCGTCGCCAATCCCGATGGCTCGTTCACCGTCGGCGGCAAGTACACTGCCTACCCCAACGGCACGATTGTGGGTCCCGGCGGGTCGGTGGTAGAAACCGGCAAGAAATTCACCGTCAATCCAGACGGCACCATCGCTGTCACTCCCGACCCCAGCAGCACCAACCTGACTGTCAACCCCGATGGCAGCCTGTCCTTCGGACCGGGCTACACCATGTTACCTAGCGGCCTGGTGGTTGACTCCACTGGAGCTTTTGTCACGCCCACTCTCAACCCGGATGGGTCGTATTCTGTTAACGGTGACTACACGGTGTACACCAATGGCACGGTCACTGCTCCCGGTGTTTCAATCGCCACTGTCTCCGGCGCGCCTGAATACACAATTGGCGGCACGACGATGCTGGCGAATGGCACGGTGCTGGACGCGGCTAGGAAGCCGATCAAGCCGATGGCGAACGCAGATGGGTCGTTCACAGCGGGTGACATCACAGGGTTTCCGAACGGCACACTTTTGGGCGCCAACGGTGCGGTTGTCAACACTGGCAAGCAGTTCGCCGTTGCCCCTGATGGCACCATCGCCGTCACCTCTCCTGCGCCTGGCTCCATCCCTGCGCCTGGCTCCATCCCTGGCCCCATTCCCTCGGACCCCAGCAGCACCAATCTGACGTTCAACCCCGATGGCAGCCTGTCTTTCGGGCCCGGCTACACCATGCTGGCAAACGGCACGGTGCTTGACTCCTCTGGAGCCCCTGTTGCTCCCATTCGCAATCCGGATGGGTCCTACTCCGTCGGCGCTGGCTACACTGCCTACCCCAACGGCACGCTCGCAGCTCCTGGTGTTGCCATCGATCTCGTCGGCGCGCCTGGGTACACAATAGGTGGCACGAAGATGCTGAAAAATGGCACGGTGCTGGACGCGGCTGGAAAGCTGATCACGCCGACAGATAATGGGGATGGGTCGTTCACAGCGGGGGACATCACAGGGTATGAGAACGGCACACTCGTGGGCGCCAATGGTGCGGTGGTCAACACTGGCAAGCAGTTCACCATCGGCCCCGATGGCACCATCACTGTCACCTCTGCTGCCCCTGGTTCCATCCCCGCGCCTGGCTCTGCCCCTGCGCCTGGTTCTATCCCTGCGCCTGCGCCTGCGTCTGGTGGCTCTGAGCCTGCACCTGGATCCCAGACTGCACCTGGATCCCAGACTGCACCTGGCTCTGAGACTGCTCCTGGCTCCAGCCCTGCTCCTAGCTCCAGCCCTGCTCCTAGCTCCAGCCCTGCACCTGGGTCCAACCCTGGTCCCACTCCCTCCAACCCCAGCGGCACCAGGCTGACGTTCAACCCGGACAACACCTTGTCCTTCGGGCCCGGCTACACTCTCTTGCCCAACGGCACAGTCACTGACTCCACTGGCTTTGCTGTCTCTCCCACTCGCAACCCAGACGGCTCCTTCACTGTCGGCGGCGACTACACTGCCTACCCCAACGGCACGCTCACTGCTCCTGGCGTTGCTGTCAGCATGGCCGGCACGACCGCTGTCACAATTGGCAGCACGACGATGCTGGCCAATGGCACGGTGCTGGACGCGGCGGGAGCTCCCATTGTGCCGATGGATAACGGGGATGGGTCGTTCACGGTGGGTGACATCACAGGGTTTGGGAACGGCACACTTGTGGGCGCCAACGGTGCCGTGGTCAACACTGGCAAGCAGTTCGCCATCGGCCCTGATGGCACCATCACCGTCGGCGCTCCTGGCTCTGCCCCTGCGCCTGGCTCCCTCCCCGGCCCCGTTCCTTCCCCGGGGCCTCCCCCTTCCAGCGGCGGCAGCGTGACGTTCAACCCTGATGGCAGCCTGTCGTTTGGACCCGGCTACACTCGCTTCCCCAACGGCACGGTTGTGGACTCCGCCGGTGCGCTTGTCTCCCCCACCAAGAGCACAGACGGATCTGTCTCTGTGGGCGGAGACTACACCTTCTACCCCAACAACACCTTCACTGCACCCGGCCTCTCCTTTGCTCAGACTGGTGGGCGCCTCACCATCGGAGCCACGACCATCCTGGCCAATGGCACGGTGCTGGATGCAGCAGGGCAGGTGATTCAGCCAACGGTGAACTCGGATGGATCAGCAGCGACGGCGGGAGATCTGACGGTGTACAGCAACAGCACCATCACTGGGACGAACGGTGCGGCTGTGAATACCTTCAGAAAGACCACCATCAGCCCCGATGGCACCATCAGCTTTGGTGACGTCACTCCCAGCCCCAGCCCCGGCACCACTCCTGCATCTCCTACTCCCTCCTCCCCAGCTGCCGCACCGCCACCACCCAAGCCTGCTGGTATGTTGCTCTTTCCACGCCTTTGTTCTGCTTAGGGTTGGCCACAACCGCTGCTCTCGTGTGTTTGCAGCTGTACTTTCAGCCTGTTACCCCTCCTTGGTTCCCTGCTTTCCGCCCCCTTCTTTCTTCCCATGCAACCACATGCCCTTGATTTGCTATTTCTCTCATGTGACTCTTCCCTCCACCCTCCCCTTGCCAGGTTCTCTCACTTCACCGGTCACTGTCTTGACCACCGCAATCACTGTTGCGCTCAGCTCCCTGCTCTTTGTGTAGAGCAGTGTGTCAAACATGAAACAGCGGGAGGGACAAGTCACTGAAAATATATAATCGCAGGAGGAAGACACAAGTGGCAGCACCGCCAGCGTGCTTCTGTACAAGTTGGCTTTTCTATTCTGAAGGGCTGTTGGGATTGTGACTAGGATTTTGCTGGCAGACCTGCCAGGGTTTTGCAGTAGCTAGGTAGGTGGCTCTGATTACCGTACCTTAGAATGACTGGCGATTGCTATTGTTTGCATGTTGCTTGACACGTCAGTTCTGTACAAGCCATGCTGGTCAATGGCATTGTCGTCTAGGATAGGATATTGGTAGCAGATCCAACTTGGAAGAGTGGTTTCCAGTTGAGCCAGGACTATTTCTGAAAATATGCGCTTGGTGCACAGTTCTGCCACTTCTAGAGCAGGGTTTCTGGCCAGCATAAACACAAATCTGGGTGAAAACACTCACTTTCCAAGGTGTTTTCTACACACATCTGTGCACAATCAGACCCACGAATCACATTACATCACAGCACGTATCTCAATCCTATCGTAGATGACAATGCCATTGACCAGCATAGCATGTACAGAACAGAATCTGTCAAGAAACATGCACACAATTGCAGTCATTCTATGGTAACCAAAACATGTAGAACTCCAACCCATAGCTACTGCAATACCCTGGAAGGTCCTCCAGCAAAATCCAACTCACAAACCCAACAGCCCCACGGAATAGGACAGTCAACTTCGACGGAAGCAGTGGCGGTGCTGCCACTTGACTTGTGTCTTCACAGTGCATTTGGTACCAGTACTGTGATTTCGAAGTTTCCACTGACTTGTCTCTTCTGTTGTTTCATGTACAACACACTGCTCTACGCAAAGAGCAGAGAGGTGAGCGCAACAGCAATGGTAGTGGCCAAGACAGTGACCGGTGAAGCGAGAGAACCTGACAAGGGGAAGACAAGGTGGAGTGAAGAGTCGCATCAGAGCAATAGAAAACCATTTGTGGAAGCAAGTGAAGGGTGGGATAAGGGCTTGTGATTGTCGGAGGGAGGGAAGGGGAGGGGGAGGAGGGGTCGCAGGGAAGCGAGGGGTAACATGCTGAGATCACAGTTGCAAAAAGCGAACAGTATTTGCGACCAACCCAATCCAGAAAACATACCAGCAGGCTTAGGTGGTGGCGGTGAGGCAGAAGGGGAGGAAGGAGTGGGAGACGCAGGGGGGGTGCTGGGGCTGGGGCTGGGACTGGGGGCGGGGCTGGGGGCGGGGCTTGGAGAACCTGACAAGTGGAGGGCAGGACGGAGTTGAGACAGCGGGAGTAGAGTCACATGAGAGAGCTAACACGCGAATAGTGAGAGTGACGTAAGAGATATTTTAGAACCCGGTGCCGGGGACGCAAGAAAAGGGGGCGGAAACAGGGAAACAAGAGAGGAAACGGGCTGGAATGAAAGCTGCAAGAAACGAGAACAGCAGATATGTCCAACACAAAGAAGAACGAAGGCACGGAAGGAGCACCACGCCAGCAGGCTTGGGCGGTGGCGGTAAGGCTGCAGGGGAGGAGGGAGTAGGAGATGGAGGGGGGTTGCTGGGGCTGGGAGAAAGAGTATCAGCAGTAAAGCTGATGGTGCCCTTGGGGCCATTGGTTGTAGTTCTGAATGCGTTCACGTCCACATCGTTCGCATTGAGCAATGGGCGTCGGAATGGGTACGACAAAGGAGAAGGTGAGTACCTTGTGACTAGGATTTTGCTGGCAGACCTGCCACATTTTTTACCCTGCAGGGTTTTGCAGTAGCTAGGTAGGTGGCTCTGATTACCGTACCTTAGATGATGAGCGTCGCGTGTTTCGTTGTGGTCACGGCGGACGTCGAGATGGTGACCGCGAGCAGCAGCAGCGCGAGTGTGAGGTACTGGCGCTCCATGGTCGTTATCGCCGCTGGCAGTAGGTGAGCGCGACGGAGAAGAGGATTGAGCTATGCCACAGTGTGCGCAAAAGACGCAGCGCTGGCTCACTGAATGTCTGAAGTAGCAAGATTTTGGAAAATGTTAAATTCGTCTGCAGTTGATATGGGTGACCATATTGAGTTTGCGGCGGCGGGTAGAGCGCATCGAGCACCCAAGCCCAGTCTTGAGCGACTCGAGGATGATGATCTTCAGCCATAGTTTGATGGGAAAATATGTCACTCGTAATCAAAAAGGGTCTCGATAATATATTTGGTAAAAAAATAATGGGTACGGTCACTGCAAAGGGTGTCTTCACGTGTTTGATAAAACGTTTCACGGAATCAGTCACAATCAACTGGGAAAAAATAACGCGAATGGTCACAGATGAAACTCCCGCCCAAAAAAGATAATGCCCAAAACGAACCTGGATGCATTTTCGGATGAATCAACCCTAAACACAACTCGCCAGGTGTTTAGGGTTGATCCGTTCCCCAACCGCATCCGATTCCGATTGGGTTTTAGTATTTTGAGAAATTAGACGATTGGTTGGGCGCGAGCGGGAATTTTGTAGAGTTTCAAGAAATTTTGGCGGGAGTTACATGTGTGACCATTCTCGTGATTTTTCACCTGTTGTTAGTGACTTCATCCGTGACCCCACTTACCAAACCCATCAGCAAACCCGATACAGCGACCGTACACGTTACTTCTTCACCATTCACGTTATCGAGTCCCATGTTGGTTACTTGTGACATATTTTCCCTAGTTTGATTTCTTCCCAGTACAGTGTTGTAGTTGTTGTTCTGTACAGCTGCCAGGTTAGGTTTGGAAGTGTAAACAAAATCACACTAATTCGAGTATGTTTTGAGTTTGTTGGATTGCAGAGATCAAAGTGTAGTCCAAACGAAGGTCAAACAAGGCCGCCATGGGTTTTTATTTTGGCTTTAAATCAGTGTAACGCGAATTTCCTGTATCATCTATCTATAAAGACAGGAGATCCAGACCCAGACTCCTTACTATGTTACAAAAAGATTAGTACACATTTTGTGCCAATCAGGCTGTCAATGTGCCGCCCTTTTCACTAGATCCGTTTTCTGGCCTAATGGACTGAGAAAGTCCTTAGGATCTTTTTGTTGGAAACAAGTAACTTAACGCTTCTGAAGTATCGAAGAATCAACACGAAACGGAGCAGACTATGCGAAGAGTCACTCTACAATGGTAGTGAGCTAGACTACGGGGTTGGCACGAACTACTAGAGGTGATCGTAGCTTTGCTTAGTTCCTTGGTGCTTGCACATTCACGGGAGAAATCGACAAGAGTTTCCACTAGCAAAGTTGGAATTACAAGAAGAGAAGTTGAACAAGGAAGGACAACAATGACTACATCAGGCACCTAGCAACCCTGCAGCTAGTCTGGTCGACCGCCAGCACAGCTCGGTCGACCACCTGCCAACGTTGCGTAGAGGAGCTGCGCCAGCTCTGCAGAAGGGCGACCTGCCAACAGAGCAGGTCGACGGCGTGCCAACGCTGCAGCAGAGCGGCTGTCCAGTGTTGCCCCGTAGAACACAGCAATGCGCAGTCTCGCAGGTGTGCGCAGACGATTGGCTCAACTTGCCTCGTTGGGCATCGGTCGGCTGTTGTCTGTGCCTGACGAGCCACATCGACTCCGGGATACCAGCCCGCAGTCGCCTGCGCCAACGCAACCTCGACGACGTTCGCGTGCCTCCGCAGAACTCGTCGAGCAGGTTACCCGGTCGACACGGTCGACCACCAGGTGCTTCCGGTCGACCACCACTGCTTCTGGTCGACCACCAGGTCCCTCTGGTCGACCACAACTCCCGTCGAGCTACCCTCTGGTCGACGGACCCCTTCCGTCGACCAGAACCATCAGCGGTTGTCGCCGAGCTCCCCTCGTCGACCGCTGCTCACTTGTCAGGTCGACGGACTGCTCCGTCGACCTCCCGGTCGAACTGCAGGTCGACGGGATGCTCCGGAGACCTCCCGGTCGAACGGCAGGACGACGGGATGCTCCGGAGACCTCCCGGTCGAGCTGTAGGTCCTGGTCGACGTCCTACCCGTCGCCCAGACCAGTCAGTTGCAGCTGTCGAGCTCCCTGGTCGACAGCAACACCACAGCGGTCCCCTGCAGCTCGATGAAGCCTGTCGAGCAGCTCTCCCACTGTGAACGGTCGGTTGCTACTCCCGTACATCCGACCAAGTCGTCGGCGTTGCCCAAGCGAGGGCGGGGCCAACACTCCATTCCTGTTAACACTCCCCTGCCGCGCTCACGCTTGGGCCTCCAGCCCACACGGCAGTACTCTACGGAGAAAACTCGTCCTCGGCATGCACCCCACACACAGCACGCCGTCACCGCACCAGCCGTGCAGAAGGGCACAGCACCGACTACTGCACCTCATCGTCACCGTCGCCGACGTTGGACAGACGAACTTGGCCGATGGCGACAGAGCACCGGTTGAAAGCCGGAAAATGCAGCGCCTTCGTCAGGAAGTCCGCCGGCTGCTCGGTGGTCGGGATGTACTTCAGCACGAACTTCCCGCGCCTCACCATGTGCTGCAGCCAGGCGTAGCGTCGCTCCATGTGCTTGAGGTTGCTTGTCAGCCCCAAGCCCTCCGCGACCGTGATTGCCGACTTGTTGTCGACGCGGAGGGTGGTCGGCTTCCCAGCGTCGAGCAGCTTGAATTCCGCAAGGAGGAAGCGAAGTCGACGCCCCTCCTTGCCGGCATCCGTGGCCGCCACGTACTCCGACTCGGTCGATGACAATGTCGCGCACTTGATGCGCGAGCTCGACCAGGAGACGGCGGCCCCTCCGTAGATGAACACGTAGCCTCCCGTGCTCGTCCAGTTCTGCTTGTCGCTCGCGTCGTCGGCATCCACGTAGCCGATCAGCTCCAACGATTCTAGTCCACCGCCGAACTCCAGGGTGGTGTCGCGGGTGTCGGCGAGGTAGGCGAGGCAGCGGTCGACCTCGCGCCAATGCTGGTCGCTCCTCACCGTGAGGCCACTCCCCAGCTTGCGGCAGGCAAACACAATGTCCGGCCTTGTCGTTGTCGCCGCGAACTGCA